TATATATATATATATATATATATATATATATATACACACACACAACTTTTTTTTCTAGAATTAAAGAAACTAAATTAACAAGGGTTCTAAAACATGGATAGACTGTCTCTAGTGTCTGCAATGACTCTTGACTATTTTGAGGAAAAGTATTTTGCTCAAACTTTTGAAACACGTTCAAAATTTCTTTAACATTAGAGTGAAGGCCAAATCTTTGTGTGAGTCCGTTCGCTGTGGCTACCCCTGAAGAAGGGAGCAGCTGAAAGGAGAAAAAGAAAATTAGAGTGAAGGCCTTGTGCCTCAAAGAAGATTGAGAATGCCAGCAAATGTATGGAGAATTTTCAGAAACTCCTCCCATATGCCATTTGCAAATTGTTGCCAATAGTCATCAAAGCCCATTAAGATCATAGTTTTAAACTCTTTCTTGTGTTCTTTAAGCCATTTCTTCACAACTTTTTTTCAAAGTCCGCTTTTGTTTTCCTGGGAATGAGGACGGCCACTGCTGAAGAATGCTTTTGCCCCAAAAGGAGGTGTGATGCTTTCAGAAATATTAGGTTCATAGCAAGCATCAAAGTAAAATTTTATCAAATATCAAGATGACATTTCTCTGCAGATAATTGTGATGTAACTATCCATTCATTATCTTTACCCGCTTCTTCCTTTTTGGGTGGCAGGGGGTCACTAGTGCTCATATCTAGCAGTCACTGTGCGAGAGGTGGGGTACACCCTGGACAGCTCGCAAGTTCATCACAGGGCCACAGAGACAAACAAGACAAAAGTGATGTAACTAAGTGATCCAATGTGTGTATTATACTTGTTTGTAATAATAAACTATCGCTGACACAGGACTCTTCAGATGTGTCTGCATTCTGAATGGTCAGCCTTTTGGGTGGCAAAACTTGTGTATGCTCCTTATGGAATGGTACATGAACTTATGTACTTATCTAGCTCCTTTCTATCTATTAAGAAACTCAAAGCGCTTACAGTATTTCCCCTAGGTAACTTGCCATGGTGGGGCGCTCATCTCGTCTGTGAATTTTGAAACCGGTGGAGGAGAACAGCGATACGTCTGAACTGCACGCTGTTTGTACCGACAGTATTCGGGGGGGGGGGGGGTGTCAGTGTGAGCACTGCGTTTAGCTTTATAGCTGGCGCTCTGCTAGCTTAGCGTTACGTCATACGCCCACTTGTACAATGCTAGGGGAAACACTGCTTTACACTACAATCTGTGCCTCTGTGCCCTCATTTACCTATTCACACACATTCATACAGCTCTCTACTAGAGCTCTACAAAGCTAACTGAACAAATCATTCTGTAGACTAATCAGTGCTTTTAGATCACATTTATACACCGATGGGACACACATCAGAGCCAATGAGGGGTTCAGTGTCTTGCCCAGGGACATTTCTACATGTGACTGCTGGTGGAATCAAACTCCCAACTCTCCCATTTAAGGACGACTGCTCTAACCACTGTCTCTACTTCGTGCTACCACAGCTATTAGGGGTGATTATTATGTATATCTTTGGCGACACCTAGGAACTCAATTGTCCCATTTAATTCAATTCAGTTTAATTATTTAGCGCCGAGTCACAACGGAAGTCATCTCTGGGCCCTGTACAAAAACATTCACATACATAAAAAGCCAGTTAGTAAAGCGATCTATGTAAGGAAGACAGCAGATTGCAGCAAATCTTCACCTCATCACAGTCTCCTGTCCAGTTTCCATCCTGAGCAAGCACAACGACAACAGTGGAAAGGAAAAAACTCCCTCTTAACAGGAAGAAACCTCCAGCAGAACCAGGCTCAGGACGAGCAGCCATCTGTTTCAATCAGCTCGGGTTTTTGAGAGGACAGGAAGGAGGAGCAAGCACAGAATGACAGGTCCAGGTGTACCCCCATTGGAAGAAAGACAAAAAGTTAAGGATAGAAATACCGGTAATTACAAATACAAAGCAGGTAGAAATACAAAACCGGTAGAGTAGAGCAAGTAAAGTAAAGCAGAGTGAGGAAATGTAGTCAATTTGTCCTCCAGTAGTCTAAGCCTATAGCAGCATCACTAAGGGATAGCTCAGGAAACCCAAGCCAACGCTAATGATACTATTTATTAACATTTACTTTAATCACTGATGTTCTTTTTTTGGTAACTGTTGGATGAGTCCTTGCAGCAGTCATAACTTTGAAAAGCATGAAGAAATTTAAGTATAAATTAAATTATTTTTTATTAAAAAAATAATTTGGGGGGCATTTACTTAATGTTTAAAAAGCAAAATAAAGTATATTGATTGTACAAAGAATAATGTAATGGATTCAGTATAATTACTGTGTGTCTGGAAATTTGCTCCAAGGATTTAAGTGTACAATTTCCTCTTTGTCCAGTTGGTGGGCGTGTGAATCAGGAACTGAAATATACGAGACAGAAGATGGGTGAGGAAGCCACGTTTAACCCTCAGCTGATGATACAGACGCCACGGGAGGACGGAGCCAGCGTTCTAACAGTGGAGGCACTTCTGCAGCATCTGGAGTCTGCTCTCAGAGCCAGCAGAGTTCACGTTTATCTTTATAACAGGTAACTAACTGTTCCTTGTTAATCTGTGTTCTTATCTCATCCGGTGTTCATTCATACTGACACACCAAATTGTCCAAAATTTATTTTTACAAGTTTACCTATCATATTAAGTTACTGCAATACTGGAAAGTTGTGTATTGTATTGTTTGTTTTTGTACAGGATGTCTGCAGTCATTGGATTTACTAATTGTAGTTCATTATTATGAAAGATTTATCCTTTTGTTTTTTTTAAATGTGTCTGAGATTTTGGCAGCAATGACAAAAGATAATATGCTTGTTTGTGTGTTTTTGCAGACAATGGAAATTGGAACATTTATGCTACAAATCAGGAGAATTAGTTACAGAAACCCATTTCGTGAATCAGGTGAGATGCAAATGACATTGATTTACATGAACTTTTGCTCTCTGAATCAAATTAAAACATCAGGAGCGCTTGCTGTTTCCATCTGTTGTCAGTTTGCATAAATCTTTCTTTGTGCTTATCCACTTAGATAATAGAAAAGCTTCATCCCTGCCTCATCATCACACCTTTGGACTGTTTCTGGGACGGAGCGAAGCTCCACTCTGGAATGGTTTATTTCCCGTAAGTACAAGACTCTTTAAACTTTGTATTGAATGGTATTTTATGCCTTTAAAAATATATGTTCTTAAAATAAATTTTCATTAATGAATTAAGATAATCAAATATTCATATTGCATCATATTATAAGACTGACCAATCTTTTTGATGAAACAAATCAGATGTTGAAACTCAAACACTGGTGTTGCGTTCAAAACAAATGGGGAGTACGTTTTTTTCATACTCAGCATCTTGTTTGTGTTCTTTACTAAAACAACTTCAACTCCCTCATTTCATCCAAAGAGACACCAGAGTAGAGCAAGTGTTTGTGCATGTGTGTCCTGAACTCGTCCCCTCTGAAGGCTCTATTGTAGTGGTCTCTGGCATGCGTATCACTGGCAAAGGTTTCTCTTCTGCCCTGGGCCTCACACCATTGTCTGGTCATTTTGTTGCTAATAGCCTGCTGCTACAGTAATACTCTGCAGATCTTTACCTCTGCATGAGTTTGTCCATGCAACAGTGTGCGTCTTTGCTGGTGGCGCATGCATGTGTGTTATGGATGTGTGACTCCACATCAACTGGAGTTGCTGTCTTTGGAGCCTCTGTTTGTTGTCTGTTGGTTCAAGATGGTAAATACGGGTTTTTACTATGTTCTGGTTGGGAGGCTGGAAATAATAACCCAAGCCTGGTTAGGCACATACAATGTGGTCTGAATGACTGAGAGAAAGAGATTCAGAGGAAGAAAGATTGGAATGTGTGGAATAGAAAGCTTAGAGAGACAATGTCTGAGATAAAGCAGGAAATCAGCCATTGCATGATGGGAAATATTCTCCTACCAAGGAAGAGATTTTTTTCTTCTGTCCTTGGAGCTTTGACAGTTGTAAAATTTGCAGTTAATGCTACTAAACACAAACAAAGCAAAATTTGATCATGTTGCATTCTTTACCATAAGTTGCATATCAAAATAAGTGTTCTGTAGATGGAGCATGAGGAAATATACCACCTTGCAAGTTCATACTGTAATTTAAACAAAGATGACACGTAATCTGTTAGCATTCTGTGAAAGTTTATGTTAGGGATGAGTCTCAGCTACTATTACACCGAAGTTTAGATGAACATCTGTAAAATGAAATGACGACAATATTTGTGTTTACTTGAGTCGAGTTAGGTGTTGAACTGGAGCAACTCGAAAGATTATTGACTGCACATGAACATTCAGTCAATAATTATTTTTCATCCACAAAATTACAGTTTGAATGGAATTCATGTCATGGTTCATGAGCTAATTTGCTAACAGACACACACTCATCTGCCTTTTACTGCAGCATGTGATAAAAATGAATGAAGAACTTATTTAGGCAAATGTATACATGGCTTGGTTTGCTTAAGATTATTCTCTTCATCATCACTCAAGCTGTGTAGTTATCAGTTTAGCTAACCCAACCACTGTAAAATTACATGGCAATATATTTTTTCTAATGCTAAAACCTTCTTATAAACAGGGGTGCACATACATTTTTTAGTGAGTACCAGGAGATGGTGTTTGGTACTCACCCCATATGTCTTAATAAGTGCCACATTCCTCACTCCTCAGTGTCACTCCCACTATCCTCTGCTTCAGCTTCCTGCATGGTAGATGATGCAGATGCTGCAGATGTACCTCCTTGTCCTTGGTATTTTTTTCTCATTCATTATTTTATATAACCCCCTGTTTTATGAAATGTAGGTATGACACTGTTCACAAGTTGGTATTTGAATCGTATTGCATTGTTCTGCTTTATGGTGTTAGTAAAGTTCTAGGGAAAAAAACTGATATAATAATAATAATAATAATAAAAAACTTTATTTATAACACCTTCAAACAACGCTTTGCGTTGACCAAAGTGCTTTACAAGATAAAACAAATAAAAACAGGGCACAGTAAATCAGTGACAATTAAAAACACAGACACAGTAAAAGAGATTAAAAAAAAAAAAAAAAGCTAAATACTAAAATTTAAACATCAAAAGCCCTTTTAAATAAATCGTTCCTTCTCTACAGATGGGCTGCATCTGCAGGGAAGGAACGTTTTACTTCGGGACAAATTGAGGTCGTTGATTGGTCAGTTACTGAAACACATACTGAACTGAGTGACAGGTTGCATCACGGATTCGACTCATGCAAACAAACAAACAAAAACCCTGCTGCAGCCGCCCGCCGACCCTGGGTGGAGGCGGGGCGGCCTAGGTGCAGGGGTAGCGGTGTTCTGGGTTTTAATATTGTTAATAGAAAGTTCTTAAAAAAAAAATCAGGGAGCGCCGGTCCTGCAGGCCATACATCAGACCGGCCCACCTGAAAATCTCCAGATCCTCCCGATAACTTGACGGTCAAGTGCGCAAAGACGTGTGGTAACACAGGTGATGCTATGCATTCCTGATTTTCATTGCGTACCTGCGTACCAGTTATGTGCACCCCTGCTTATAAAGTACTGTATTCATGAAAAAAAACTTATAAACCTCAGGAAAATATGATTAAAATGTTTCTTTTTTAATATATATATATATATTTTTTACTTTTACAGAGGTGAGGGCCCCAAGCAATGGACTAATTTTGACCCTAAGGAGTTTCTTAGCAAGTTAGACATGAAAGGATTACATGTGGAAGGCTTTGAGGCCATGTTGGAAAAGGCAGACGTTGGACACGGCTACATGGATAGACCCTGTCTGAACCCTGCTGACCCTGACTGCCCCCTCACTGCACCCAATAAGAACTCAACTAAGGTTGGTGCATGACTAGCCTTTGTAAACACTTTTTTTTTAGTTTGGAATAAAGAAGCATCAAGTTTTAAGTTTAAACTTAGTTGCTTACATTAACATTATTTTTATGCTTGTTGCTTTTTTTGCACCAGCCTTTCAATGTGGCACGGGTACTGAGTGGTGGCTGCCATGGTTTGTCCAAGACGTACATGCACTGGCAGGAGGAACTGATTGTAGGAGGGACCACAAAGAATGGCAGTGGACCACTGCTCAGGTAACATACACACCATGTTTACACAACTTCATAAGCTCAATGGTGATTGTGGCAAAGCTTTTTCTGGAGATACTGTATGTTTTGTGTTCTCTTATGCTTTCTAAGTGTGCACATGCATGTGTGCGATAAATCTTGCAGTCATTAGCAGATTCCAGTGAAATCCTGAGTGCTCCAGCTGTTCCTGCTCAGCTCTGGCTGCTCAGCTTGGACACTGTTCTTGCTCTCTCACGCACACACTCACACAAACACCAAGTGATCTATTGCCTGGCAAGTTTGTTCAAATATACAATACGTGATGCGGAGACCTAAATCCAACACAGGCATCAGGTTAAAGCTTGTGGAGCTGCAGACATACTTACATGGAGTACACAGTTTTATGTGTAGGCCATAAAGTAATATGTAAAAATGTGTAATTGATGCAAGTATTAACGTGTTAGGAGTATATAGCTACAAAAATCACTCCATATTTTGGTGAAGGAGTAAATTTGATTATTTGAAGTGGGGTTCTGTGTCTTACCTGTTGTAGGGATCTTTTTTATTTATATTGGTTAGGAGAAAAATAATTTACCGGTAATTCTGACTAGACTGACAAGCTAATAGCTAGTCTTAGACGGGACAAGGCCAAAGAATTTTGCTGTTCTCTTAAAACAACTCCAATCTCAAAGGTTTTATTGCAGTTTGTACAAATGTTATTTTATGAACCTTTAATCACCATCAGTTTTGCATTGCATTTTTATTCTGACAAAAATATTATGATATTCTTGCTGGAAGTTCCCCATCCTTCATCTGGAAGTGCTACAGTTAGCTACTGCTGCTATTTGTGCTTACAAATAGCCGTACAATTTGATGTAATAATTATAGTACGTGAAATTACATGCATGAAGAAAGCTATCTGAATTATTACTGTGTCTGATTATTTTCATCCAACTAATGACATATTTCTTACATTGCATATTTTAAAATTTTATGACTTAGTATAGCTCAGAACTTTTCATTCAATCTTTATTTAGACAGGTTAATCCCATTAAGCCTTGAGGACTCATTTACGAGAGACCTGATTTCAACAAAGAATGATGACAACA